CACTAAACAATAGCTAAACCGTTCCTCAATAAGCAGATTTTAGAAACAATTATTCAGAAACAAGCTTTACTGATTAAGCTAATGCACCAACATTGACCAAAGAAGATGATAATAGTGACAATTGACAAATCTCTGAATAACCAAAAGAAGAAAGAAGCAGATTGAGGTCACGGAGACACACTTCATGGTTGCTGGTGTGGCTGTTCCCCAAAACAATAGAATGGAAGTCGCTAAGAAGTTATTGAAATTAACTTTCTGCAAAGAAGTGAAATAATGTAAAATAATCTGTTGTCGGTTACATATATTATTCCGCTGCTTGTCTTTTTGCTGTACAATGGTTGCCTTCTTCGGGTAGGTCGCATATTGTCCCGATCGCTCCCTGGTTCAACCACGTCGCTACTTCATGCCGTCTCGCAGTAATTTACCAAATGGAAACTTATCCTGCAGTGGAGAAAGAAAAGGAACAAAATTTTTACAGCTTTGAAGGAAAGGGTAGGACTCGCGGGCCTCGTTGGATTGATTCATCAATGTCTCGCTCTTCTCCAGAAAATGAGAAATCTGTAAGAATCATGCTCATAAATGCGAGTGATAAACAATGGTATCAGAAAAATACAAGGAAAAATGACAATAAAACTTTCCTTAATTTTATATATATATATATATATATATGATAATTTAATATGTTTTAATTTTATTAAAATTCTTAAAAATTTATGTGTTAATAAATTTTAAATTAAAAAAATTATTTTACTTTTATTGATAAATTGTGATTATAATTTTTAAATAAAAATTATTATTTTTTTTTTAAAAATTATGATTGTGGTTTATTAGTTTAAGAAATTATTTTTCAATAATAAAAATTATACTTAATAAGTTATAATTTTTTATTTAATTTTTATAATTTATAAAATAAAAATTATTATTTTTTAAATAAAAATTGTGATCGGAGTTTATTTTTTAATAGCAAAATTATACTTAACAAGTTATAATTTTTTGTTTAATTTTTGTAATTTATATAACAAAAATTTTTATTCCTTAAATAAAAATTTTGTTTAGAGCTTATTATTTTTAATAAAAGTAAAATATTTTTTTCACTTTAAAATTTATTAACATAAAAGTTTCTAGGACTTCTATGAAATTATAATATTTTAAGAGATCATATTATTATTTATATAATTTGAAAGATTTTATTATTATTTTCTCAAAATACAAGTGATATAGTATAAATTTTATACTTGTATTATATATTTATACACACAGTGACACACACACAGATATAGTATAATTTACTGTGGTGAAATAAATGAATTTTCCATTGAGATATGATCTAGTTTCTGGACTTGTTCTGTAAATGTATTTTTAAATGCAAAGTATAAATATATTCATCAAATTTTGAAAAAAATGAGTTATTCACCCTCACCGATCGATCCATCTTTTGGCTTGGTTTGATCATGTATGTACTAAAAAGGAGTAACGTTTAAAAGTAGGAATTTTGAACCATTTGACATGATATGAGGTTGTCAAATTAAGGTGCCCAATTAATTACTTATATGGTTATACTAATAAATCTTGTTCTTATCCTGCTTTACAATGGAAATTGGGAACTTGAGACTTGTTTGATTTTTTCTCCCCTCATTTTTCATATTCAAAAACTATTTTATAAACCCTATTTAAAAATTTCTTTTTAAAAAATAAAATAAAATAATGTTTGATTAAGCTAATTTCAAAATAATTTTAAAGTTGCAAAAGAGTTTTAATTGACAATGGTAGAGTCTAAGGTTAGTGATAATGGTTGATGGTAGTTGACAATAGCAACTAAAAATAATGCTCTCTAATGGCGGTTGACAATGGTGATTATAGTAATTAATGGTAGCTAGTTGAAAAAACTAATGATACTCAGTTGATAGTCACGAATGACAATTGGTGGTGGTGTTGTGGTGCCAAATAATGACAATTAATGAGCGCCAATAGTAATTAGTGATGAAAGTTCATGATGGCTAACGATAGAGTCAGTAATTCAAGCGTGCTGAATTTATTCAGGTCAAGTTCAATTCAGACCGAACTTAAAATATTTTATTTTTTTTTTAAAAATTCATATGGCTAAATCTGACCCTAATACCTTTTGACTTCAGTCTTATTCGAGCCTATCCGAATATTCAAAACTTTTCAAAAATATTTTTAAAATTTTTTGAATCAATTTTAATTTTTAAATAATTCTGTCAAGTATAAAATATTATTTTAACTTTAAAAGAATAAAATAAAAAATAATAACTTATCAACTTTGTATCTAAGTAGTTCTATTACTGTTTTATTATATTATATGTAATTTATTCATAAATTTTTTCTTTACTTAAAAATTAATGTCTTATTTATTTAAATATTACTCTTATTATAGTCATATATAAATATTTCATATATTTTAATTAAATTATATTATTTTAATTATGATTAAATTGATCTCAATTCAATCACGATTAGATCACTAACTAAAAATTATTGCTCCCATTAATTCAAAGTTTTTGATAACGTTTGGGTAAACTGTTTTATTTTTTAAAAATATGAGAAAAATAGCTATCATTATATTATATGAAACAAAATCATTTAATTATAAATAAAATACTTATTTTTTGGAATTTTTTTTCTTAAATTTTTATATTTTTTAACTCCTACATATAAAAGGTATTTATTTTAGTTTATTCTTAATTTTTTAAGTTTGGCATAGACGATAATTAAATAATTATTCAAGAATATTATTCTATTTATTATGTTTATCTACTAGTAGTGTTGGAAATTTGAACATGCCTAAATTTTATTTTTAAAATTATTTTTTGATTTTATTTTTTTTTAAAATTAATTATCTTATTTTATAAAAAGTATAAAATATATTTTTTAGATACGCAAATGATGTATAGGACTCAAAATATTTTTAAATACAAAAATTATTAAAATATATTTTAACTATTATTTTGAAATATTTTATTGATTAAAAATAATAAAAATATGAAAATATAAATGTTTTTAATTTTTTTTAAAAAATAACTATAGTAATGTATTTAAATATATGGTATTTTAGTATAAAATAATATAAAAATTAAAGAATTAATTAATATTTATATATTTTATATATTTTTAAAAAATTATTTTTTATTTGAAGTATTCAGGCCAAGCTTGAATTCGGTTGGGCTTGGCCTGAATTTTTTCAAACTTACTTAAGCAATCCAAATAGATTCGAACATTAAAAAGTTATTATTAAAAAAGACAAAAATCATAAATCACTGTCAATTCTCAAACCCATTAAAATTTTAAAATCAAACCTCCAAAAGTAGTTTTGGATAATTAATTTATAAAAATTTTAAAAACTTTTAATATTAAATTAGACTGTAAGATTAAATTTATATTATCTAGATTGATAATAAAATAAATTTATTAATTTTTTTAATTTTTATTTTAATAATTATAAAATAAAAAATAAAATTTGTTCGGCTGGACCACCCAAAACCATAACCGGGCTCAAGGTATTATGACATACCCTTAACAGTTAAATTAATTAACCTTCACCAAAGAGTAGGAAGCCTTCGTTTGGATAATAAAAAAATGAAAAATAAATTTCTATTGCCCAGCTATACAAATTAGCTTCTATAAATTTTCATTTGGACAACAAAAATTACTTTATAATCTTGCTACTTCTAATATAAACACATCTAAACTAATTGACTTCTAACAAGCTAATCACATTATTGATATAGCTAGATTTGAAAACATGTGTATATATGAATTTAAAAATCTCAAACGCTATATTTTAAGATTTTGAATGAAGATAAAATATTAGTGGACTTGTATAATTTCAAGCTCAATTAAATTAAAGATTCATTAGATCTCCCTAATAAAACTATCTATTGAGATGGTCTAATATAATTAATGTTATTGTAGTTTCTGATAAAACTTATAATATTATGATTGATTAGAAAAAATCTTCAAACTTTAAATTGTAATTAAACTTTTTATTATATTTGTTTGTGATTGATATATATTTATTTTGGACTATATTAATGTATTTTCAATGTGTATTTTTTGTAATGATTTATAAGTAGTTTATTGTTATTTGGATAATTAATTTTTAAAAAGAAAATATGATTTTTCTATCATAAAAAACAATGAAAAGAAGTGAATTTATAATTTTTAAAATTAAAAAATATATATAAAAATATTTTTTATTGGTGGGTTAGCACTGTAGGTTAGTAAAAATACAACTTGCACAAGATGCAGGTCTTGTCAACTTGCCTCACCAAGCTCGCAACCCGTTGCAAGTTAACTTGTGAATTGATCTATATTACCAACTATATTTATAAAGATGATAGTTTTATCATATAAAGTTTAACTAAATATTAAAATGGTTATAATACAAAAAAATAACAAATGTTCGGTAATTTATTAAGTTTAATTATATAAAGTGGATTATATATGGAAAAGCCTCGTAAATTTATTAATTTCATTTAGAAACCCTAGACATGGCTATCACCCCACCAATTCACTATCAGTTCGTGACTTGCTACCTCCCCATTTACTGTAGCGTCTGCATTCGGTGATGAACGCTTAAATTAATTTGTACATTTTGGCTTTCATTTCAGTTTAAATTGTTTCTATCATTCATTTAAATTAATTTTTTAATATTTTAATATTATATTTATTAATATAAAAATATAAAAAAATTATACTATTAAATCTGAACTATTTAATATATATTTAAATAATTAATTTATAAATTTTTTATTTTTTAATATTAAATTAGATTATTTAGATTATATTTGAATTATTTAGAAACAATGTGTATAATCAAATTATAAAATTATAAAAAAAATTATTAAAATTTTTTGTATTTTTATATTAATAAATATAATATTAAAAATATTTAAAAATTAATTTAAATAAACGGTAGAAATAAATTTAAACTAAAATGGAAGGCCACCGGGCTTAACGAGCACAAGTGATGAGTACGGAATGCAAACGCTTTGACATTGCGGCGTCTCCTCAACATTTATCTCCTACCTTCCCCTGCGACGCCTCTCCAACTCTCAATCTTCGTCAATCACTCATGGCTCACACGCACATGACTCCATTTGTTATCTCTCTGATCTCAATCCAAAACCCTCGACCTCGACAGGTGGCGGCGGCGGCGAGCAGAAGACGTTCAACGACATCCATGAGAAGCTGCTGGAGGCAACAATCGGTGCATGCTTGAAGTGAAGAAAAAGTAAAGGGTAAAGGTTGGGGTGAGAGGATAAAGAAGAAAGAAATCCAATGCCTGTTGAAAAGCTCCAAAATCTGGCTTTAGGAATAACGCCCCAAAATATGGTATAAGTCCCTCTGTCCGTTGCTGATATGTTTCAACGTCTTGGTGCTCACCGCCAGATATACAGCTCTCAAATTTCTAAGTACGTTAAAGCAGGACTCATCGACAAAGCCATTCAAGTTTTCAACGAAATGATCCAATCAAAATGCCGCGTCTTGAGCTTGGATTACAATCGCTTCATCGGTGTTTTGGTTCGCCAATCGCGCTTTGATTTGGCTGAATATTATTATTGCAGGATGAATATCCAAGGTTTTTCTTTGACGCCATTCACTTACTCGAGGTTTATTTCTGGTTTGTGTAAAGTTAAGAATTTTACCCTCATAGAGAAGCTTATCCAAGACATGGATAATCTGGGGTCTGTCCCTGACATTTGGACTTTTAACATTTATTTGAATCTTTTATGCCGTGAGAATAGGTTAGACATAGCTCTACAGGTCTTTTCTAGCATGTCTGATAAAGGAAGAGAACCTGATGTTGTATCATATACCATAATTATTCACGCATTATGTAAATTCGAGCGCCTTGATGAGGCCACTCAAATGTGGGATAATATGATTGAAAAGGGGTTATCCCCGGATTGTAAGGTTAGCACGGCGCTTGTTATTGGGTTGTATAGTGGTAGAAAGGTTAATTTGGCATATGAACTTACCGTCAGTGTTATCAAGGGTGGAGTCGAGGTTAATAATTTGATTTATAATGCTTTGATAAGTGGGTTCTGTCGGATGGGTAGGATTGACAAAGCTCTAACTATCAAATCGTTCATGAGGAGAAATGGGGGTGAGCCGGATTTGGTTACATATAACATATTGTTGGATTATTGCTGTAATGAGCTTATGCTGGATGAGGCAGTGAGGTTAATGGAGAAGATGGAGAGAGGTGGGATGGGACTAGATGTATATAGCTATAATGAATTGCTTAAGGGTCTCTGTAAAGCTCGTAAGCTGGAGAAGGCCTATCTAATGATGGTGAAGACAATGGAAAGGAAAGGGCAGTTTGATGTTGTTTCTTACAATACAATTATAACAGCTTTTTGTAAGGCTCGTCAGATTGGAAGGGCTTACAAGTTGTTTGAGGAAATGAATGGAAAGGGAATTCGACCTGATGTGGTGACATACACAATCCTTATAAAAGCTTTTTTGTTAGACGGTAACTCTGATATTGCCAAGGAACTTGTTGATCAAATGACAAGGATGGATCTGGTTCCTGATCGTATATTCTATACGACAATTGTTGATCACCTATGCAAGACTGGGAAGATTGGTATGGCTTGTAGTGTCTTCAGCGATATGGTGGAGAATGGAATAAGTCCTGATGTGATCTCATATAATGCCCTCATAAACGGGCTTTGTAAAGCCTCTAAAATAAAAGAGGCCTTGCATTTATATAATGAAATGCAGATGAAAGGACTCTGTCCTGATGAGGTGACTTTCAAGTTGATCATCAGAGGTTTATTAAAGGAAAACAAGCTTTCCGTTGCTTGTAGGGTTTGGGACCAAATGATGGAGAAGGGTTTTACTCTTGATAGATTTCTTTCTGAGACTCTAATCAATGCCATCAAATCAAGTGATGCTACATGAGGAATGCAGTGGTTTGTATTTTTGTGAACCTCCAAACTACATAACTCATTTCTCTGTGTGATGGAATCGAAGCTTAAGCTTACTTAATTTTTTGTTATAATATATGCTTAACACATTTGTAGAGTTATCGTCTTTCTGCATGTCAAACACCAATAAATCTTTGCCAAATCGTTTTGCTCCCCACAGTGCAATACCATGCTGTTGCCAGACTCTGCTTATTTGTGCTTTTGCACTGTATGACATACTCTAATCTGCTATACTATTTTATTGCTAACTTGTTTTCGTGTTGGTACTAGTTTATATTCTTCTTGAGATGCAAGCCTACCCTTGTTAATATCTATTTTGCTTCACTAGGTTGAAGTTTATCATATTCGCTATACCATTTGTTGTGTGTTGCAGAGCATTAATTTGGATTTTGGAGATACTCATTCAATGTTAACTTCACCTTGGTGTGAGCAATGTCTAATTCCTTCTACCGTGATGTTTATCATGGTAAATCCTTTTTCTAGTTCCTTCTTGAACATTATATTCAAGTTCCAAGACTGCTCATAACACAACAGATAATCATTCAAAAATGAAACATCTACAAGTTAAGCTTGTTGTGATTAATTAGGCTTTCAGTATTCAATTGAATTAGATTCTGAAAAGTTGTGGTGCACCTTACAACTTTCTTGTGGTCTCATATTTTTTGTTGGCAAGAAAGGAATCCATATCTGTTGGCGTATAACGTTTTGAATTTCAAGCATATATGTTATAATATTGTTTTCTTTGATATTTGATGGGAAAAGACAGATTTAGAGGAGTAAGTGTTTGAATAAAACGCTTGTAAGATTAAGATACAGCTCCCTCTTACACATATGTTTGTATGTAGAGTATAAAAAGGTATCAAGTAGTATAATGTGTACAATATTTAATGTAGTGCAATGGATATATGTTACCCTAGTTGATATACATGACTACTGTAACATTCTCTTTACCTCCTGAATGCATGTTAAGACCTGAAATGCTTTTTAAAGTTGTTGACCGTCTTGAGATCTAATGCATCTGTTTATATGTGCAGGATGAAAGAAGATTAAGAGGAGAAGGCAAGGGAAAAAGCTTGGATGCATATATCCTTTAGAGCTTCCCCAATGTAATTGTAGGGTTTCTAAGCTACCAAATCTCAAGTTACCAGGTAAGTTTTTTGTTTCACTTTTTGGCCCATCAGTGCGTGGAAAACATTTATCAAGTAATTGCTCAATATGAAGAATTTGTGCCGTCATATTGTAAAAAATAAAAACCATAAATAAATGCTTATTCCATGTAGTTGCTTTGAAACTAAGAACTTGTAACAATGGTTATCCTTAGATAAGGTCACAATGTCATGCATGTAGGGGTGTGTTGTCTACTATTAACGTAAAATTAAGGGCAATTGGAAGCTAGGTCCCTAAAGATCAATTTATTAACTAATAAGTTTCAAAAGTTTGTGCAAAAATGAGTCTCAAATATTAGTTCAAACATTTGCAAATATGGTGGTTTCTGTTGCAGATTATTGAGAGTGGCCTATAAGACTTAATCGCCTAATTTGCAACTCATTTTTTGGCAAAAAGTTTTGGGACTTGACTATCATTAAATTGATCTTTTGGGACTTAACTTTGATTCCCCTTGAAATAAAATGTCAATCACCTGGTTCATTGAATTTCTGTCTTATCTAACTACACTGAAGCTCAATATATATATGTATATATATTTTGGGTAGACAACTGAAGCTGAATTTCTATGTACGTTGTGCGTCAGTTTTAGTTGATATAGATGTTGACTTTATGCCAGCACTACACTTGATATAATTCTACTCATGCACTTCTAGTTGTCATATTTTTTCATAGTATATGATAATAATTGCACAATGCTACTACCCTCTCCTATCTCTGCATAATGAGGGAGGAGAACTTATTCACTGATGTTAATTCACCATTGTTATTAAAATATGCAGGGGCGAGGTCTAGAATGTCAAAATACTAGAAGCAAAAGCATGAATGAAATGAAACTATGAATTCTTAGAAGTCAGTGTGCAGGAAGCCAATGAGTTTATATTTTCAAGTTCAAAGGTTAGGCGCACATCTGGCTGTCCATTTTTGGGCTTGAAAAATATGATGGCATCAAAACAGAGCCTAGCTCAATCTCCTTTGTTTGATTTCAAAGTTTGAGGTGAAATGCCCACAAGGCATTTACCACACTGACAGATTGGCCCCTCCGTGATTTGCAAATTCTTCTACAACTGTATTTCAACTGATAGGAGCATCGGTTTGATTTTCAAGAGGTTAGGTGTTTGTTGGTGAAGTTCAAAATATGGTCTAATGATTGAAGTTTTTTCAATCTGGTTCACATGAAGTGATATTATTATCAATTCTAGATTTCAGTCCATTTTAAGTTCATTGGAGCGGGTACTCTTAAATGTGGGTTTATATTACTTGAAGTTGTGATCTCGTAATCCAAGAGGAAGTCTTGGTTATAGTTCAGTAAATTAGATCTTTTACCCGTATACATTTATATATTTGTAAAGAAATTGGTATAAAGGAATGGAATTTAGGACTGTAAAATATTTGAATTCAAAATTTAGGTACAAGTTCGCCTCATTGCTTAGTTTAGAAAAGGAAGTTCAAGCTGTTTTAGACTTTTTTTTAACCTAGATGTTGAGTTCTCTTATTATTATACACAAGGTAATCTAACAGTTGACTTCAGACTTGGTAAAGCTCAAGTTCCTCGTATATTTTTACCTTCCAAAAATCCAACCTGGTAAGAAGACTAGAAATAGGAAGAACAACTGGAACATTGCCTCCACAGACGGCTAGACAAGTCTCATGATTTGCCTTAAAATGAATCGTTGGTAAAATTCTTCGAGGTGGTCCACATTCCCATCCTCTGTTGCTCCTGGTAACGATTATCAATTCCTTCTGCTGCAAATATCTCGACTCAAAATCTTGTCGAAAGCCCAAAGGGAACATGAGCTCTCCATCAGAGTAAAGGAAATCCTTTTTTCAATGAACAACCTCAGAGTAGCTACCATGATTGACAGATCCATCTGTGATTATTAAGAACATAGTTTAGCTAAGGGCTGGGCCAACCCTATGGAATTTCGCTCAATGAAAGAAAATGTAACGTGTTCATAGTATTGACTTACAAGCTGAAGCATCGCTCCTGGTCATGCCCCAGGTCGGGCCTTGCACAAACAACCCATCTTTCTAAATTTTGGGGAGTCTAGTTTACAAATGTGTCAATGAAAAGATCACAAAGGACAACCAAATGGTAAGTCAAAACTAGCAGATACTCGGGCTGTACAATTTCACGGTGGTTGATCAATAGAGATTGTTCAGGATGTTGATGCTACAAGCTACAATTTCAGGACACGAAAAAATGAAGCAATCCAAAAAAAAAAAAAAAGGCAGACGGAAGAAGTATGGTGCAATTATAAGAAAGGTTCAGAGAGCTCCATCTCGTTAGAAGCCTGTAATTGTTGCGTATCAGGCCGATGAGATCCTACAAAATCCATGCCAAGCCACTGCCACGGCCAGCAAACATATCTAGATCGATTTCGGCTCCTTGAGTCTTCCCTACTCTCAAACTCTTCAAGCTGACGGGTAAGCTCTTCCACTCTTTCCCTTAGCCGCGATGCCCTCAAGTCTGCCAACTTCAGAGATTTCTCTGCTGCATCCCTTGCCGCCATTGCAGCCACTGTCGTCTCTTCTTTGAATTTTAGCTTATTCTCCGATTCCAACAAGGATTGCTTGGCCTCCTCAAGCTCCTGCTTAAGTGCTGATAGCTGCAGATTTCCAACCAGTAATTAGGAATATTGCATCTTCAAAAAGGAATACGAATGAGCAGGAACAATGAAAATATCCAATTTTGGCATACACTACAAATATCAAGCTACCATTATTACAGTGTTAAACTTGTTCAGCAAGCTCATAACAGTACTTTAAGAGAGGAAACATCAGAATATGATACGTGAATAAAAGGTCGTATCAAGGATGAAAGTATGGAACTAGGGAAATAACTTGTCACTAGCAACCAGTAAACTTGCTCAGTAATTTTGAACTTTGCCATTGGACCATTTGTATATTCAATGAAGCTCTCCCCCCCTCCCCCCCCCCCCGGGGTGTACTATAGTCAATGAAGCTTTGATTTCTAAGAATATCGGAATTTACAGGAATAAGAAAAAGAACCATTCCTTCCCTATGTGATGAAAATAGTCCTACTATTTGATCCCAACAAATATAGTGTGAACATCAAGAGCAACTGCTAAAACAGGGGGCATACTTGTGCGGCAAATTCTTGTTCAATAGCTCTGCCTGCGCCAGCTTCTTGCTCTGCTGCTACTTTCCATCTATTAATTTCTTCTTCAGCAGAGGCAATATCAATCATTAACCCCTCAACCTACATAATAAATAGGTTAAGTTCATACTTAGTATCAAAGAAGAATTAACAGTTAAATCCTGTCATACAGTCCACAGGATATTCAACATTCAAATACGCAAACGATAGGTAAATTTAATCAGTATTCGGGTGACAGTAACTATCTCAATGAAATGACGAAGAAAAGATATGTAAGCATACACTTTCATTTGCAACTCTCTCCTTCTCTTCAAGTTCTTCTATTCGTTGCATTCTATGGTTGAGCTCTTTGGCCTGAGCTTCCACGTGCTGCTTAAGTAAACTCAACTCTGTCCTTAAATCAGTTGAACAAAGTTGTAAAACCCAAAATAAATTAAAAAAGGGTCAGCACAACTTGCAACTGAAATTATACATATTCTTCCGAGAGTGAAAATAAGAAGACTTTCAGCCAATTTCAAATCAGATAGTAAAAAATTTCTGAAATGTTCTAAGTTGTGTACCTTAATTCATCTCTAGCATGCTGCAGATCAATGATCTCAAGCTGAGAGGCCTTAACAACGTTCTCCAAAGCACCAGCCTGTGAGTAGTATATTAATAAATAACTCCCCAAGGAAACTTCGAAGTATAAAATACATTAAAGATTTAAAGGTAGTAATTTACAATGGAACAAAACAGTGCTAGTAAGTACTTACCAGAGAGCATATGTCATCCTCCTCTTTTTCCATTACATTTGCCTTGTCGTTTGCAGCTGTATCTCTTCCGTCTCCAAAAAGCTTACTAAATTTGAAATCTATCCCAGCCTCCCTTAAACCATTTTCTGCAGCGAGGAACAACTCATTTTTTCTGGAAGTTGGATCAGATGTTATCCTCTTTGACAAAGCACTTCTAAGTAAAGAACCAATTTGATCTTTCTCCCTAACTAATCGAATCACTGTATCTTCCAAAGTCTTGATTTCATTATTTTTATTCTCAAACACATCCTTTGCTTTCTCAGCAACAATTCTAATCAATTCATTTATAGATTCCATCCCTGCCAAAGAGGCTCGAATAAGTTCTTCAATGTCTGTTACTTGAGGAAGAAACAAGGATTCTGACACTTCAGAATGATTTGCATCAACGATCTTAATAACATTGTAAGCCTGGTTATGAATTTTAGAGACAAAACTCAACTGATCAATCAATAAAGTCCTCTGTGATTCCATCTTTGTTTCTATCTTTCTCAACCTGTCATCGTAATCAACGACAATCTGTTTCAACTCCACGGCTTCATTCACTTTTTCATCCTTCTCGGCAAGAGTCCTCTCTAAATTCTCAACAACAGAAGTTTTCTTCGTGACCTCTTCCCTTAATTGACTAATTGTTGCTTCCAGCTGAGAAACCTCAATAGCAATCTCATAATTCCTCTGCTCCATCTGCTCTCTTGTCTTATTCCTAGATTGAGCAGTAGACTCAATCTGTTTAACAAGTTCTTCAACAATTTCATTAGCTCGCATAATTACCCCATATGCTACAGCTGACAAACCCGTGTATTTCTGCGATCTGGATAACCCATTACCAGCAAAATTTTTGAAATTACTCACCTTCGCAGATATTTTGTCCATCCCATTCACTAACATCTGGGTAGAATTTCCAATTTCCGCTCGAAGATCGTCTCTCTCCTTCACCAATTCATCGAATTGCTTGGCAATCTCATCTCTCTGTATCGATAACTCATTCTTCACTCTGTTCGTCTCGGCTAATTCGACCAAAAGCTTCTCCTGCGAATTCAGAGCCTCTTCTTTTTCCCGCAAAGCATCATCCCTCTGCCTCCCGAACTCATCGCGTTTCTTGATAGCCTCAAGAGCAAGCGCCTTCAACCGATTGAACGAACTCTGCAATTCGGATTTGGAATTCTCGGCCGCCTGGCGAGCTTGACGCTCACGATCGAGCTCCACGAGAAGCTCCCTAACTCTGTCAACGGAGACTTCTTCTGGAGGCGGATTCGTGATCCTAATCGGCAAGGGACAGTCATCGTCCTCAACATCACTAAGGACCGCATCGGCATCTTCGTCGCCGGCGGCCGCCATTTAAATACTCTTATCGGATATCAAGGAACCAAAGCAAAGCCCTTGAAATTGGAGGAAGGAGAAAGAATCCGTATTGAATTGGGAAATCCAAGAAACCCAATTATGAACGAACACTTGGGAGTTTTGGACAACGGTTTAATAATGAATCCACATATGAATATTCTTTTGATCTTTTGATTGGAATCGCGGGCTGCTGATAGTAGTGGGCAAGTGGAAACCGAAGATGACGACGACGACGGTGAAAATGTTCGCACCCGAACTGAGCACAACACAACACCGTCACCGATCCTGCGCCCCAATTCGTCACTTCTAAATTTTTTTATGAAAAATTAAAATTAAAAAATAAAGAAAAAGAAATGTGATTAAAATAAAGGGCGATGATGAGCCGCTTGAGGATGAGTTTTGGCGCCGGCTTGGTTGAGAAGGAAACTTCGTCTGCGACTGAGAGTGAGAGGAACGGCGATTCAGAAAATGACACACAACCTTCCTTTCGTGCCCCTACGGTCTTTCCAGCGTGGAAATGACGAACCACTTGGCAACATGATTTTCTTTTTCTTTTCCTTCACATTCTAGAAAATGTTTTCCTCCCAAGCGGCCGATGATGACTTTGACGCAAGAAACATAGCAACGGACAAATCACTCGTCCAGTATATTTAGAAGTTAAGTGTATTGTTGTCCAGACAAATCATGAAATTGACCAACCTACTCATTGCGGATTGAATTTTCTCTGATTCTATTTAGCAGATTGCTTCAAACGCCAAACGATGCATTTCTTGGTGATGCAAATAAGTTTTTAACGTCAATTAAATCAAGCAATTCTCTGAATAGTTTAGTTATTATCTCACCACTATCGATTATCTTGGTATTGTTGAAAAATCCTCAGCCCATGTGGAACAATTCACCATAATGTGTCCTTGAAAGGGCTTGCAATAGACTGAAATGCCCTTTCATAATTGACAGACTATCTGATATCATTACGGCTTGCATCAAGTCTCCATCTATGAAAGTTATAACGAACGGTGAGACTATACAAGAGTTTAAACCCTCTCTAGATCTTAGACAAAGGGATCCGAATACTTATTATATCTTCATATTTGTATGAAAAAACCCAATCGTATTATTGTAGATGAGATAGCCGATGGGGAGTGGAAGCCTATTAAGCTTGTGAAGAACAAGCCCATTGTCACACTTATTCTTTGATGATGATTTAATCCTATTCAAGGAGGCCTCATGTGACCAAATCCAGGCTATGGATAGGTGCATCTCTAGATTCTATGAAGCCTCAGGGTAGAAGATGAACAAGGATAAGACCAAGTTGTGTGTATCTGCCAATGTCTACTTCTATAGAGCCAAAGAACTTGGTGAAGATTTGGCTATTGGATTTACTAGTAATTTGGGCAAATACTGAGATACCGCTTATACACAAGAGGCTACTAATAGCCTCTCTACACCTATCCTAACCAAGAACCAAGAAACAATTGTCGAGTTGGAAGAGCAAATTTCTCACTGATGAGAAAATTTACTTTGATTTACTTTGTTATTTCTACTCTACCAAGCTACTATATGCAAACCATTCTCCTCCCCTCGAGTATCCTTAATGACTTGGAAAAAGCCAGTAGAGACTTCCTTTGGAAGGATAGGGAGGATGTAAGGAAGGACCACCTCTTAGCCTGGGACACTCTTCAAGAGCATAGGGAGTATGGAGGTTTGGAGATATGAAATTTGAAACATCAAAACCAAACTTTCATTTAGAAACGTTGTTGGGGTTTGGTGTCAAATCCAAAGGCTTTATGGTTATAAGTCCTCAAGTCAAAGTAAAGGTGTGGAGAAGGTCAACTACCTAAGATCAAAAGGAAAGTGGGAGGGTCTATTGCTTGGCATAGCATTGTTAAAGTATGGGACTCCTTACAACAAGGCCTAGGTAGAAAGATTATTCTAGTCATTAGGCATCATTTTGGTTTGATAAGTGGTTTCCCAACAAAAAACCACTTATTGATTTCATGGAGAATGGTAAAGAATTTGTTGATATTAATGGAAAAGTAAGGGACTATGTCCTTCTTTCAAGTAGTTAGGATACGTACAAAATGAGGCCTGGGCTGCCAAATCTTGTCATTGACCTTATTACCAGCATTAAACCCTCAAATGAGGAGAGAAGAATGGATAAACAGTTATGGTTGTTTTCTATTGATAGAATGTATACTGTGAAATTGGACTACTCTTCTCTTTTTGCAGGCATGAAAGGTGACAAAAATCCACTATAGGAAAATATTTGGAGATGGAAGATCCTAGAGAAGATGAAAACACTCTTCTGGTAGATAGCACATGATACACTGCATACAAATGTGTTTTGAGTGCAGAGAGGTTTGTCCACAACAAGCCAATGCCCATTGGGGTGCAACAGGATGGAGGATGCCATGCATCTCATACATGACTTCCCTCATACTAAACATAAGTGGGGGGAATATGTGCGGCCAAATGTTGAGGATACTTTCTTTAATCTAGATTGGTGTAAGTGGTAGATTAGAATATGAAAGAACAGGTGGGAAACCCTTTTACAAAGGTCGTCCCTTGGAATATTTTGTTCGCTTATACTATTTGGAAGAATAAATGCACAATTCCCTTCTAAGGAAGTGATGAGGGGACGATTGAAGAACCTTATAGCTCCATTTTTAAGATTGCTATGGACTTAAAATTAAAGGATAAGATATATCCATCAACAGGGCAATCTCAAATGGCTCTTGAGTATGGAATGAATGTTGAGGCCATTAAGCTAGAGACTAACAGTCAATGGCAGAGTCAAAACCTAAAGTTAGATGGTGCAAGATAATTAGTTTAAAAATTAATAACTTTTTAAAAAATAATAATTATACTAGGACTAAAATTGTAATAACATAAGTAGTTTGATTATCATGTTTCTTTTTAGAAAATTAGATTGAACATGTTAACATGATCTCTTATGTAAATATCTTCTTCTTATTTTATTTCAATCATTAAAATATTATGTATTTAATAAGCTTTTAAGCCTAAATATTTTTTATTTAGTTCAGAGGGTGCAAAATATCAAGAATAAGGGATGCAAAGTTGTAAAATTTATATATCCAATTTATAATTTTTTCCAAAGTGAGGGGGTCCTTCCACTACCAAAGGGCTCTGCCACTGCTAACAATTCTACCCTTGTTGATGGCTAAAGTGCTTGCAGTGGAAATTTGAGGGGTGCGAATGGAACTTGGATTCCAAGGTTTAGTCAACAATTGGATAGCATACCACCTATCATTGCTAAGATCCATGGTATTTTTAGTGGGTTAGAGTTGTGTTGGGTAAAAAGATTTAGAATTTTGAAGTTTTTGTGATTGTGTTTATGATATTATAACAATCACAAAAGATAACTATAGTTATCATCCTTTTTAGAATATCATTGACGACAACTATTGTGTCATCATTGAAATGTTTACTTTTATTTTGTGTATAAACAGGACAATAGAATGCTAGACTACCTCACTAAGTTAGCCTATAATTTTTTGAAAATTTATACTTTGTTTGATCAACAACCTTTTAGTTAGTTTTGGGGTGGCCCTAATTTTTGCTCTCTCTCTCTTTTTTTGTTTTTTCTTGCTGTTTGTTTTGCATTGTAGGTGTTACTTGTGTTTCCCATTCTTTTGAATGAAGTGGACCAGTTTTATTCCCCAAAAAAAAAAGTTGTCATAATTTCACTTTGAATTATTCACTCTCTAGTCTCTACAAATTATCAAGAATATAAAGGATCATGTTATGAAAAACTAACCTATCACTTTTAATCATGTGTTAAAGTTAATAAATGCTTGAATTGACTTGCACTCCAATTATTTAATTATAATTAAGAAATTAAGATTTTTTATTATCCATTCTCATAATGCATAAATAAATTTCCACCCATTTATGAGGTTGAAAGCCTACACATGTTTGATATGAAGGAAAAATTTCTCATGAAACCACAATCAAAATTAGAATAATTTGAATTGAAAATGAAATTGAAATGGATTTTAAAAATATGTTGGATATATTAGATGAAGTCTTGATATGCTTTTAATAAGTATATGTATTTAAAATATATTTATTGTTAGGATAAGACTTCTTCTTATTGTAATATTTAAAATATGAAAAAACTATAGGGCCATTTAAAAAAAAAATACTCTCTCCCTTCTAATTTATAAGATACTTTTTTAAAACAAAAAAAGCTACATACACTAATAAATTTATATATTAAATACTACTCTTTACAATTTTTTTTAAAATACAAATATAAATTTTTAAAAATTCCTTTTATAATAAAACTTTATTTATGAAATATTAAATATTGAAAGAAAATATAATAAAGATGGAATTGTAATATTGGAACAACTATAATTAATAAAACATTTTTTTGTAGTGTTTTATATTTTGAGATCCTTAAATTTGACTTAATTATCAATTTGGTCCTGAAATTTAATTTTTACCATGTCGTCCCTCAAACTTCATAATCATACCCAATTACCGATCTTTATAAATTTGATTGATAAATATTACATTTCAAAGACGAAAACCAAATTAATAATTAAGTCAAATTTAAAATACGAAAATTTTTGTTATTTCTTAAATATTCAACTATATAATGAGACAGGAAGTGACGCATCAGCCATGGACTTTCTTCTTGGAGTAGTCGAGAAATTTCCTAGTGGGTTAGGAATAACAAGTTCAGTGGGAGGAACAAAGGGACAAAAAACTAGGACTCAACAACTTAGGAGACGAAGCAGAATAGAGCAGATTCCTCATCCAAATCAAACAAGGATACAACATAGTAATTTTCATCACAGTAATTTTTTTTTTTTTTTTGTTTTGTTCGTTTTGGAAGGTGGGTAGAGGGGTTACAACTAGACCATTCTTACACTAGATAATAACAAATTGAACAGAAGGCTCCTTTCGATCCCTAAATGAAACTGTATGTTTGGCTTATGGCTTTTGAAAATTAAGAAAAAAAAGTCTTTAAACAACTTTGAAAAGTCTATAACTGTTTGGATAATTAAAAAAATTATTTACTTTGGAAGTACTTTTCAAAAATTGGTTAGGGTTAAAATGTGATACAGGATAGTGGTTTGGCTTAAGAAGTCAACTCATCATAGTGATATTGATATTTTATACCTAATTAATCCCACTTAAGTTGCATAAGGTTAATATATCTAGATAAATAAAGAATTAAACTATCCCTTTATTTAAAAAAAATAGTAGTAGAAGAAAGAAGAAAGAAAGAAAGACAGAAAGAAAAGAATCACCGGCAGCGCAACTATAATAAGAATTAATTAAGAAGTCCTCAAATAGGGCATATAGTATCTTCCTTAATTGAGATGAGGCTTATATCTTGCAGGCCATATAACTTTATAACCAATGAAATTTGAGACTGTTAAGATAGGCATCTTCATATCAAATGTTCACTCAAATGAGACATTTTCTTATTGAAGGAGCACTATCCAAATAAGCATAAACCATGGGGGGTGCTATGTTATAGGCAAAAGGGACAAAGGCACCCCTTGAATTGAAAAAAATCACAAAAAAGGTCCATATATTCTTATATTTTATATCATTTGGCTCAAATCTTTTGCACCACTTAGTCCAATTTTAAAGATTTTGAACTCAAATTTTGTTAATTAATTTTAAATTATTAATTTTAAAAAATGTTGCATCTCAAAGCTTAAGATCTTAGCACCGCCATTGAGCATAATTTGACCAAACATATCACCAAGTCTTCAGAAATTAGAATTCAGAAAAATCTACCGCAAAGAATTCTAAATTGACTTAGATTCACCAAGTATAAAGAAAAGAGAGATAAAGACAAAACATTCACACAGCCCAAAGTAAAAAAGGATGTCCAACACAAGGGGCACCAAGCCCAATAATTAAACCTACAAAAAAAAAACAATAAGCTGGTGCTTTTATATGAATAGTCATTTGTGAGAAGAACTAATGACAAGTCACGAAATGAAGTGGCTTGGGTAGTTTTTATTTTATAGACATATTGATAGTAAGAAAAATTTCATCTAATTCTTCTAAATGAAGAAATGAGTTTTGGAGCATCAGACGAAGCAGACACTCCAAGTCTTAGAAAATCACATAGGGCCACTTGTGATGCATATAAGTTCATGACAATAAATTGTGGTTAAGAAAACTGTAAAATATAAATTTTTCGTCCTCTAGTAATAGATTTTTCAGAATAACAATCTCCACAAACTACAAATAATATGCCACCACAAAGAGGGAAGGAGGAAAAGACAGAGCAATGGTTTTATTTTATTTTTTATATGAATTCCTCTACAAAGAACAAAAAAATGCAATTTAACTAATTATTGATTTAGTTGCTTCTATGGAAAGCAATAAATAAAACGTTTCATTCTCAAACACGAACAGAGGGGTGGGGGGAATAGGAAAGAGGGCATGGGAAGAGATGAGCATAGGTTCACAAAAATAATTATAGAGAAGAGTGTCAACTTTGGGAAACGAAGGTTTTGCGAGAACTACTGTAAAATCTCACGAAAAAAAAATGAAAATACAATGAAATCTTATCAAGTATTAAAATTTATTTACTTAAAATCTAAAATCTTTAGATTTTTATATTTAATCACTAAAATAATTGTTCACCATTGGCCAACGTTGTCAAAGCTCCAAACATCATCATCGTCAAAACTCCGGTGGCCGGTGTCTCAACGGCTGTCGGAGCTCTGGCAACAGTAATCAGTTGGAGACAGTTAGGCTTTTTTAATAGAGAGAATTGCTTTCAGGTATTGTGTTGTTATCCTTCTAAACTCGGTTATTAATGGATTGAAAGTAATTGGTTGTATTGAGAGTAAAAAACGTATGCAATTTTCTTTAATATATAATAATATAAAGGTATTTTGGTAATTAAATATAAAAATATATAGTAATATAAAGGTGTTTTAAGAATATTTTCACTATATTTTTAATAATTATTTATTGATAGAGATAAATTCTTAAAAATTTATTATATAAATTCACATTAATGTTATTTAAATTTGTAAGCAACCTTGCTTGCAAGTGTGCCAACAAATCAGAACCACCAAATCTGTTGCTGCATGATGCCCCCCGTCTCTTTTCCCCAAGCAAAACCAAAAATTATCAGTATACTTACTGTTTGATTAACTGTAAAATTTTAATTATTTTGTTATTCTTCTTTTACATAAATAAAATATTTGTATGAAATATACACAATATTCTTTTTTATAATATTATTACGTAATTTAATTTACTCATATGAGAGTTATTATATTATTAGTACTTTAACTTTATTTGTTAGTTTATTACATTATGTATGAAATTGTGAAATTTGTTTGTTTAGTGAGTAACAATATTCATAATTTTATAAAATTTATATTATATATTAATATTTAAAATATTATATTAATACGTTGAAATGAGTATATTATGACAAAAAAAAAAAGGGCGTGAGTATATTGATTAAAAATATTTATGATTTTTCAAATATCTTAATCCCAACTCCTAGTACTTCACGTCAGCCTACCCCAGCCTCAGCACTTTCTCTGACGGTACAGATCGCAATAATTGACATCCAACAAATTAATAAATAATTAGTTAAATTGCACGAAGCATACCTGAATTTTAGAATAATTGCAAATGCCTTTTTTACTTTTCAATATTTAGAATTAACTTTTTAATCTTTAATTTTTTTAAAAACTTCTACCATTAATTAAATTTATTATATTATTAATAAAGTTTATCATATCAGTTTAATATAATACACATAGTACATAATATAAAAAAATATTTTTACTATTTTTTAACACTAAGGAAGGACAAATTTACTTTTAATAGATATGATTATGCTATTTTTTCATAATTGAATGACATGGTTCTCATTATTTATTGTTAACACAATTTAAAAGAAAAACTATAGTTTTACTATTCTTTATTAATTAAAATAGCTTTTTATATTTAAACAAATAAAAAAAATCTAAAAACCGTTGTTGACGAGAATCATATAAATAAAAATTTTTTCCTTTTTAAATTTTTAAGGGCAGGTGTATCATTTAAAGAGGCACAGGATTGAACCCAGAACCTAATACCACAAAGGCACAACTTTTGGTACTGCTTTTAGATATTTTCTTTTCATTTATTTAAATATAAAAATCTGTTTTAATTAATAAAAAATAATAAAATTATAATTTTTATCTTAAATCATGCAAATAGTGAATAATAAGAACAATATTATTCAACTAAAAAATGAGAGTATGTTAAAAGTAAAAATTATAATTTTTACCTCCTTAAATTAATTTTAAAATAATAAAAAATATTTTTTTCATATTATATGCCATGTGTATTGCATTAATCTAAAGTTGCAAATTCTATTAAAATATAACAGAGTTAATTAACACTAAGGGACTTTGAAAAAGAAAATTAGAGGGTTAATTTTACGTTAAAGGTGAGGAGGGTCATCTGACGTTTAAGTTTAAAAAACCTTTATACAATTTAACCTAAATAAATGTCACAAAATTTTGGTTAAGTTGAGGCCAATTTTGGTGGTATAAATGAAAAAGACGGCCAAACATCACGCTATAATTAAACGAAACTAGATATTCATATTATAATATATAGAACTTGAACATTCAAATAAATACATTCTACTAAAATAATTGAATCATTTTCTAGAAATTCAAATTCTTTGCTTCTTCAATTTTATCTTCCCCACATGGAATTGAAAAAAAAGAAAAAAAGATTTTGGTAAATATTCTCCAACTAGAGTCCAAGTCGCAAAAAGCCTTTGATTAAAGTAACACAACATTCGGAGATTAATGATACACCTTCAGTTAATGTCTTGTTTCTTTTTTAAGCTAAGTAATTGTTCTTTCTTCCACGCATGTGCAATGAAACAATAACTCGCATTGCAATCTTTTCTGTTTTCATTTCTATTCTAATCCCTTTTTTATGTTTGTTTATTTTTACTAAAAAAATGTTTTTTCCCCCAATCAATTGTACTAAAAAGGTGTTTAAACTTGCAATCGGAGTTTTAAGGTCAAAACTCAAAATAAAATATGAGTTTGATTACCGAAGGGGAAAAAAAAAACAACGAAATAAAGATATGAGAGAGTTTAGTCCAGTTAAACACATTAACCGAGATCATACCCATAATGATACCACACTAATCGTCAATCAAAAATGGTAATTAAGAATAATTTCTGTGATTGATTGTACGTTAAACAAACTGAAGCAGACAAAGATAAGTACCACGAGAGAAAAATAGAAGGCAAGAAATGGTAATACAAGACGTAATGATGAGGACACTTGAACAGTAATGACGAAACCATGAAAGAAACATCGATCAAGTGCTCTGAATACAAGAAGAGTGATCATGTAGTATATAATCCATAAGCTCTCAATCGAACGAAAATGAACACGAAGATGGGGAGGCCTTCCCTCTGGTTGAGGTTGGCTCTGATCTGCACCATTCCGATTCTAATGGCGTCGTCTCAACCACTGTACACGACTTCGAGGTGGATCGTGACGGAAGACGGCGAGCGCGTGAAGCTGGCGTGCGTGAATTGGGTGTCGCATCTGGAACCCTTACTTGCAGAAGGTCTGAGCAAGCAACCTGTGGATGTGATCTCCAAACGAATCAAATCGATGGGATTCAACTGCGTGAGATTCACTTGGCCGATCCTGCTCGTCACCAACGACTCTCTCGCCTCCCTCACTGTGAGACAGTCCTTCCTCAACCTCGGCCTCCTCGAATCCATCGCCGGCATCCAATCCAATAATCCATCTATCGTCGATCTCCCCCTCATCCAAGCTTACCAGGTACCGATTCCTCACGCTTTGATTTCAGATAAATTGTTATGTGTTGAGATTTACAAAGAGTCTGCGCACTGGAAAATTAGGTTAATTATTAACGGATTGATGTTGAACATGACAGTGGGTGGTGGAAAGGATGGGGGAGGAGGATGTGATGGTGATATTGGACAACCACATGACAAAGCCGGGGTGGTGCTGCAGCAACTCCGACGGGAATGGGTTCTTCGGCGACCGGAATTTCGACCCTGAGCTGTGGGTAGAGGGGCTCACCAAGATGGCTTCGCTGTTCAATGGAGTGACCAATGTGGTGGGAATGAGCCTGAGGAATGAACTTCGAGGCCCCAGACAAAACGTGAACGATTGGTATAGGTACGTTCGTCGTTCCTTTGAACAGCCCAATCAGGTTTTAGCCCATTCTTCCAATCTTCCTTTCTGAACTCTGATGGACATTAGAGAATGATCACATCCACATCGTTGACAATATGAATGTATATCTATATTTATTTCCAAACGTAAACATCACTGAGGGCATTTTTGTACTCTTACATCCGTATAATGAATGTATTTTTATGCTTTATTAATTTTTTTTAAAAACCTACGAAATTTACCATCTAATATAATTTTTTATCTATTTATCGTTATTTTTAACAGAATATTATATATGTAAAAACTTAGTTTTTAAAAAAATGTAGGAGGGTGAATTATGAAAGTGACATATTTATTTTTATAATTATAAATTTATAAGAAAATTATTTATTTAAATTAATATATTTAATTTGATTTTTTAATTAAATCAGAAAATTAAATTTAAAATTTGAGCATTTATAAATTAATAATAATAATTTCATTGCAAAGTAATATCTTAAATATATAAATTTTACGTATTTATACTAAAAATTAAAAAACTTGAATATTTAAGTTTTCCATTTTCTATGCATGAAACATTCACAGAATCTAGGATAAATCAAATCATTTTTTATTTGTTATTAGGATCAATTATGTAATCATTTATGATTTGTTATTAGGATCAATTATGTTAAGTTCTGCTATATTAATATATTTTTTTTGTATTAATGTTGATATTGATGATATGTTGACCATATAATTCAGCTCATTAATGTTTTTAAACTGAAGCAATTTTGTTTTTTGGTAAAGTAGTATTCGTAATGTAATTTTTTGTAAGTTGAAGCTGCCAAACGCAATGTTGCCTTTAAGCTAGCACGAAGAATTGAATAAGACTAGACTTTGGCTTGATCTAAAATATGGTCTCTTTTATTAAAAGGATTAGGTTATGCAAATTATAGTTTAGTCTAAGCTGGTTCAATTGTAACTTGAAAACTAACAGGACTGGACTTGGTCCATGAAAATAAGAAAGAAACTGGTTCTGATAATTTAGTACTCATTTAATTTTTTTTTCTTTATTTTTTTTATGAGAAGTAACAATTCATTTCATCTTGATAAACTCAATTAAAATAATAAAAATATTTATAATCATGAAAAATCCATAACAATTTCTAACAAAAACAAAAAAACAAAATTAGCTACAATCTAAATGATTTAAATTTATAACTTCAATAATAGCAACAATAATATTCAACACACTTCAGCAACATATTTAATATATATTACAATAATAATTTAGCAACAAACTAAATTAAAATTATATTAAATAGATGGGTGAAATCTGAATAAAGAAAATGTTGCGTTTAAATTTCAAACTATTCAAATATATTAAAAATAATTAAAATTATATTAAAATAATTTTATAGGATCAGACTGCCGTGGTTTGAGAGTTTGATCTTCTATTTAGTATAGCTGGAGAAGTTTGTCTAGTTCAATTTTTTTATTGAACTGTATTAAATTTGTTCAAGTTAGATTAGGTTGGATAAAATAATCAAACTTTTACACAACCCTACTTTAAGCCAAACACATTCATTAGGCGTAGAATATCGATGGCCTTGTGATACCCGACAATAGGGAATTTTAACTCTGGATCGACTCGTGTGATGCATGAAACCGAGGGACGCATGGTTTTTATTTTGATTTTGAGTGAAGGTACATGACAAAAGGAGCAGAAGCAGTGCATGCAGCAAACAAGGACGTTCTTGTGATTCTGTCAGGCCTAAACTTCGACAAAGACTTATCCTTCCTCAGGAACCGACCAGTAAAGCTAACGTTTCAGAGGAAACTAGTATTCGAAGTCCACTGGTACGCCTTCACGGACGGTCAAGCATGGATCGAAGGCAACCCAAATCAAGTGTGTGGACAAGTTTCAGGAAACGTGATGAGACTAGCAGGTTATTTGGTGGAACAAGGGTGGCCATTGTTTGTGAGCGAGTTTGGTGTGGACTTAAGAGGCACCAACGAGAACGATAACAGGTACTTGAGTTGTTTCTTGGGTTTGGCTGCTGAACATGACTTGGATTGGGCATTGTGGACCCTTGTCGGAAGCTATTACCTCAGGCAAGGGGTTGTTGGAATGAATGAGTACTATGGACTTCTCAATTGGGATTGGCGTGATGTCAGGAATTCAACTTTCTTACAGAGGATCTCTGCTCTCCAATCTCCTTTCAGAGGTATTTTGAACACTTTCTTCTCCTACAAGCGTTACAGTTCTTCCAGGTCAGTCTGGCTGTAGGAAAATATGAAATAAAATGGATTGATATAAAATAATATAAAGTAAAATAAGGTTGTGAATTGATAGAGAAGTGATGTAGATTGGTAGAGAGGTGAGAATGATAAAGAAATAAGAGTCATGGAGCGATAGAGATGTGAGAATGGGATTGATCATCTCTGTCACTCCATGACTTTCCTTTCTCTATCGTTCTCGTCACTTTATTAATACATGACCTCATTTTACTTTATTTCATTCGCTATCAACTCAATCCATTCTATTTATTTCCAATCTAGCCAACCAAATAAGTGCTAGAATAAACAGCCTTTAAAGTTTGAGCATATGAAAGAAAAGTTTAATGCGGTAAAGAATAGTACTTTTGTAATTCAATAGCATTTGGAGAGGATGGAGAGAAGAGAATCCAAACATGAAACACCTCATTCTTTATCAAATCCAATCTGAGGTACTTACAGATGCTCTTGAAATCCAAGAATGCCTTCTATATTAAGACTTCAATGACCTCGGATTCTTTCAAAAATCAAACTCCAAAGAGACTCGAAAAAGTGGGCTTATATGGATGAATCTTACAAGCCTTCCCTGCCCCCTCTTTCTCTACTTTAATAAACAGCTTTTTCCCTAGTCCCCGGTAAAAGAGAGTAAGAGGGAAGAAAGTGATATTGCTGTAAATGAATTTCATCGGCCCTTCTCTCTCTCTCTCTCTCTCTGTTTTTTTTTTTTTTTGTCTTCCTCACACATCCTCTTGCATACTGGAAAGTATCCATGAAAATTTTTGATCCCTATGCTCAGTTTAATCCCCATAAATTATCGTTTCAAACTCTTCTATAGATCCATGTGTCTATGCTTTTATCAGAATAACTACAACATGAATCTCTTTTCATCCGACGTTCTCCAGTGATTCAAAGTCTGGTATATCGATTTTCCCTTTTACACATGATTAGTTAATTTTGAAATTTTGAAATGCATGCAGGGCCAGGAATATCAGAAGGCAGGCAACACAAAGTGATATTCCATCCATTGACGGGTCGCTGCATTCAAAGAAAATCACTGGTTGATCCTTTGAAGTTAGGACCCTGCTCTGAAGCTGAAGGCTGGAAATACACACCCCAGAAGATCCTAACATTAAAGGGCACATATTTCTGCTTACAACCAGACGATATAGGGATGCCGGCTAAACTAAGCATAATTTGTTCGGGGCCTAATTCAAAATGGGACATAGTCTCAGAATCTAAGATGCACATCTCATCAAAACTTTCAAACGGTTCATCTGTTTGTCTAGATGTGAATTCCAACAACATCCTCGTTACCAACACTTGCAAATGCTTGAACCGAGATCGTACCTGTGATCCTGCGAGCCAATGGTTCAAACTTGTCGACGCCACGAGAACTTCAATCTCAACTCAATCATTAACGTTACCTGTAGACTCAGATTTAACAGGAATAATCTCTCACTGGGAATCAGTGAGCTCAATTTAAGGTAATGCCAACAATATCATTGTACATACAGCTCGGACCAATATGGTCTCAAGTTGCACATATTACCCAGCTGAAGGATTAGCTTTGCAAATTATAGAATAGGGATGGTGTATGTAACATGGCACAAATAAAATTCATAAGTATTATTTAAATTTGAATGAGTTTTTATTGTTGTTTATTCTTTATTGTTTTCTAAACGTTACCGAGCCTTTGGCCACAAAGGTAAGAACAGAAGGGGACAAGTCTTTTTCAGAAATCCCCAGATTCCAATACTTTACTTCATGGTTTAATCCCAAAATGAAGCAAGGTATAGAAGTTCCAACAGAATTATTACTACCCCTACAGAGAAAAAGTGAATTCAACATAATCTGACATCAACATTTACTCCTCACGAAGCCGATGGTTCTGTACCAAATGCCTTGTGCTTGTTGATCCTTCCTTTCCTTGCCCAGAATTTCAATCGAAGTAGATGAAAATGGTGCCCCAATTGATGCAATCAATGGCTAGACGCCTTACATTATCAGCATCAGATGACAATGCAGTGATGAAACAAGTCGTTGCCACTCATGCTCCTGTTGACAGACATGTTGACGTTAGGCCTCTTCTTAACGTTGTTCAAGACATCTTGCATCGTATCACCACTGTCATCCCCCCTGTTGTTCAGGTACGTGAAAATGTTGCCGTTTTGCCTTTTCTTTCTTGAAGCCTGTTCCTCATTGATTCTGATAAAAATTTGAACAGGGGAAGCAAGCAACCTTGGATGCGGTGGGTGACAATGCTCTCGCTCCTCACATGCGTGATAATTTGTCCCACACAATCAGCAAAATTTCCTGCGAGGTTTGCTTTCTTGTTTACTGTTTAGAGTGGTTTTATGAAATTTGTTCTGGGAGTTTAGGTGTTATTATCCTTGATCCTTATTTTGGTTATAGATTGTCAACGATAAAGATTCTGATACGTAAATGTTTCTTTTTTTTTTTTTTTGTGACTAAGCTGCTTAAGCTACGTGGAAAAAAAAATAAAATCAAAAAAAGGGTTTATCCATTCTTTTATATTTGGAAAGGCATTCTCCTAGCTAACAGCATGGAGTTATACTATTCTAAAGTCTCGAATGCAACTTCCATTAACTCTGTACATTCATTTATCTTTCATGCTTTTTACCCTAATTTTAATATTCGACAATTGCACCAATACTGAAATTCATGACTGCCCTCATTAATAATTACTAAAAATACTTGTTAAAATACGTCCTTATAGCATATACAGCATGGTAATTTGATATGTTTGTTGCAGGAATAATGTGGGATAAACTGGAATTAATGTGACATTTTAGGTGATTGTACCCAACTTGCACGAGACTTTCAGTAGATCAATGATAAATCTTTTGAAAGTTTAAATAAATAGACTTTGTCCTGTGTGAATGCAACCTAACTCGCGTGCGCGCGTGCGTGTGCGTGTGGGGGTGGGTGTGTGTGTGTGTGTGTGTGTGGGGCGTTTTAAAACAAGCTAAACCAATAAGCATTAGTTTTAGCGGAGGGGGGCTAAGTTCTGCTTAAGCACAATAGTACTTGGGTTTGAGTCCATACACACACACACACATATACATATGTAAACGACTTCTTTGAGAAAGCTACCTCCGATTTGAGACCTGATCTAGTTCAATTCAGATTAGTCAGTCCCATAGGCCATATAACTCTCAACACCAGATGATTTGCTAAAAAAAGGAAACAAGAAAATACTAAACCTGCCGTTTTATTGCAACAAAACACCTCGCTCCTCATGATTCCGACAATTCAGACACAATAAATGACAAGCTCTTGACACAATACAGTTGTCAGCTAACTACAAATAACAATTTCACTTTCCTAAAGTAATTAGTTGAGCAAATTTATCACTTGATAGTTTTAATTGTGAAAATAATTAGTGTGACAAGTACAAGTTCAAAAAAAAAAAATCCATCTCAAAAAACTAGCTTATTGAATGGAAGAGCCCCTTAAACTTATAAACTTTATACCATTTGTGAGGCTCCCTGATGTGGGATTCATAACAACTAGTGTCAATACTCAACAAGAGATACCAAACCTCTCATGAAGTTGAATTTTACAAACGAGTTTACACGTTTCTAATTATTTGTTGATATTAGACATGTCAATGGTTTTGTCAGATATCTTACAAGTGTTCTACTGGTGGAAACTCTCATTCGACAACTATGGGAATTCTGGGCATGCTTTCAAGCTATTCATGGGATTCAAAGGCGGTGATAGCTTTAGCAGCCTTTGCATTGAACTTTGGGGAGGTCCGGCTGGTGGCTCAGCTTTATGGCACCAACCCACTTGCTAAGTCAATTGCAATGTTGAAGCATGTTCCTGAAACACAGAATCGAGACGATATTATGGGACTGCAACATAGGTATGAAGTGATCAGCAACATTGTCAAGGTCATGTTGGATGTGACCAATTGCATTGTAGCATTTGAGGAGCTCCCCTCTCAGTACAAAACACCCGACACGCCGCAGATGTCAGCTGTCACCACTTTGATTCCCATTGCCGTCTATTGGACCATTCGGAGTATCCTAGCTTCTGCATCTCAAATTTCGGGCTTCCTGAGCATGAATCAGTATGTCTGTCTGGCTTCTCCGTGAGAATCATCCTAAATTGCCCTTAATTTCCTTATGCTTTGGTACTCATGTTTTGGAAATCAAACTCTTTTTTCTTTTTTCCGAGTTGATGTCAGACATATATCATTGGTGTCAGAGGTTTGGGAACTTTCAAGTCTGGCTCACAAGCTCAATAACATACACAACCAACTTCAGACTGAACTTGCCCTTTTACAAAGGCAGATTGGTAAAACCTTAACTCCTTATGTAGATTTGCACCAGTTAATCTGGGACATTTTTTTTCGTGGTAATATTGGACATATATGTAATAATGCAGAGGACAATAAACAAACTGAAGCTTTTGAGACACTTGTACGTCTTTTTAATGCGTCTCACTCTGACAACATGGAAATTCTTCAAGGTTTGTTTTACTTCAAGGGCGACCAACTACCGCTTCTTGATGGTTCTACCAAGCAAAGGGTTAGACTTCAGCGTAAATACTATTTTGGATGGTATTTCCATGTGTTAGCACTAATCTTCTCTATCATTTTCTATAGGTAAGCATTGATGAATTAAGGAGTAAAATTGTGCTGCTATTCATATCAGATCTCAATCTCTCTAACCAAGAGATCATGATTCTTGGAGAAATGTATCTCGAGTCACGTCAGGAACCAGACATGTTCCCGATTCCATTTGATGTCGTTTGGCTTCCAGTTGTTAACAAGGGAATCCCATGCTCTGAAGTGAAACGGAAGAAGTTGGAGGGGTTACAATCAGCAATGCCATGGTACTCAATCTATGACCCTTGGCAGATAGAGCAAGCAGTCATTAAGTACATTAAGGATGTGTGGCATTTCAAGAAACGGCCTATACTTGTTGTGTTGGACCAGCAAGGAAAGGTTGTCAACCTAAACGCTTTACACATTATGTGGATTTGGGGATGCTTGGCTTACCCTTTTGCAGTCTCACACGAGGAATCCATTTGGAAGGAACAAACATGGGGACTTCAGCTATTGGCAGATATGTTCTGTCCATTAACCTGGGTATATATCTCATACTATATCCTTTCAACTAGGCTATTCGAAAACTGAGAGTGATACTGATAAAAGTTGTTGCATTCTCCAACAGAATATACACATTTACAAATTTCCAAGTTTAAACTTACTGGATCGAATTCTTGTTTCAGATATCAGAAGGGAAATATGTATGCTTGTATGGAGGTGAAAATCTGGAGTGGATCAGGAAACTCACAAGAAATGCATACGCCATGGCTGAGACTCTGCAAGTCCCACTGGAAATGATATATATGGGGAGAAGCAATCCAGGAGAGAAAGTGGAGAAGAACAAGGAAGCCATAATTTCAGAGAATATCAGCCATGCACTGGAGGACCTGACATTAATATGGTACTTCTGGGTTAGGGTAGAGAGCATGTGGCACTCCAAGTTACAGCAGGGGAAGACAGTAGACAGTGACCCCATAATGCAGGAAGTGATGACAATTGTAAGCTTTGACAGAAGCGGCGATGAAGGATGGGCTGTGATGGGAAGAGGAACGGAGAAGATGGTGAAAGCACAAGGAGAAATATTTCTGAAGTGTGTTAGTGAGTATCAGAAATGGAAGCACAAAGCAAAAGAGAAAGGGCTTTTGACAGCAATGGATGAATACATAAAAGAGCTAAGAACCCCACACCACTGCATCAGATTGATAGTGCCAGGAAGCAATGGCAGAAGCCCAGAAGAAGTGACCTGCGCTGAATGTGGCCGTACCATGGAAAAGCTCTTCATGTACCGTTGTTGCGATGATTAAAGGCTTGAGTAAATATAATAATACAAAATCGAAGTCATGTATTTTTGTGGATTCTAAAAACAAACATGCCTAAGTTGTTATTTTAATTTTTTTGGCTTCTAGAACTTGTCATTACTCATTACTTCAACCATACAACTAGTATATCTTTTTCCATGGTTTACGTAGGCCTTGGCCCAAAAAAAGCAAAGTTAGTAACTTAAGGCCCAATTTGGTATGTTTGATTTTAAAGACAAAGGAAACTTTATACAAAGCTGATAAGGGTCCAAGTCAGCATAACAAACCCACAATCACTTATCAACGTAGAAAAAGGAGGAAGATAACAGAATCAGATGCTGTTATGCAAGTTATGAGGGATTTACCTTATTTAAATTAATTCATTGCTGTTATTTTAATTAATAATTGTTTTGTTTTATTGTTAGTAACTGTTAGTAGCTGAATAATAGGACCTTCACTGCGTTAGTGGGGTACCAACGTGCTAGTCAGTTATTTTCTGATTTTAGGCTAATTATCTGCATTATTTGATTTATTTAATTGTAATTTTTGGTTATAAATATCCTAGCTAGTATGACAGTGGGACACCTGAAATTAATAAACCTTGTTTTTCCCTTGGAGATTCTCCTATTTGGCTATTAAGTTCAATAGAGTAAGATCCTTGCTCTATTTAATTTAATAAAATCCTCCTTTTCCTTCATATTTGTCTTAAGCTCCTACCAAATTGGTATCAGAGCCTGGTTCGATCATTATGGTGACCACACACTTCGGAAATGAAACTAACCATGCCAACTCCTCTAACAACCCACCCCAAGGTCAGAATACTGAAAATCCATTTGCATCAGACCCTTTAAGCCGCATTGCAGCCAGACTGGAAACACTTGACTTATTAAAAGAGAAGGTTGAAGCACTTGAGTTATCTGCTAGCAAAAGAAAAAGACCCGTGGGAAGCTATCATAGGCATTCACACTGGGATGAAAATAGTGATGGAGAGTTAGACTATAGAAGGGGTCCACGTCCACCACACACCAAAATTGAATTCCCAAAATTTAGTGGAGGTGACTAGCGTGGTTGGATTTTGAAGGCTGAAAAATATTTCAGGTATTATCAAACATCAGAAGATTTGAAGGTTGATGTGGCTTCCATGTATTTAGAAGGGGATGCTTTGGATTTATTCTCGTGGATAAATTTAAAACGTACCTTGATTTATTGGGAGGAGTTAGTGAAAGCACTGCAAGAATACTATGGCCCTCCAGAGTATCAAAATCCTGATGAACACCTAGTCACCATCAAGCAAACTGGATCAGTGCAAGAGTATCGCCAGGAGTTTGCTAAATGAGTAGCACGAGTTCATAATTGGCCGGAACACTATCTGTTAGGAGTTTTCTGGGAGGACTCAGAGATGACCTGAAATTCAATGTGCGTATTCAGAAGCCTCGCACGGTGTATAAAGCCGCTAGTTTAGCACTAAAATATGAGAAAAAGCTATAGATGCATCGTGGGCCCAAGCCCAGCTCTTCCTTGATCCAAACTCGATCCATTAACAGCTCCAATATGTTCACACGTGATCAACCGGGTGCTGCTCCAGCCTTCTCACCCAACACGTTAAGAAATTCTCCTGCGTCTTTCACGAATCCGTGACCATCAAACACCATCCAGCCACGACCTCTGCTCTCAGATGCCGAACAGCAGCATAGCAGGGATAAGGGACTTTATTATCATTGTGGGGACGTCTTTTGGCTTGGGCACCGCTACAAACCCTCATCCTTCTCACTCATAAAGATCGACAAGGATGGGCAACCCATATCAGAAAATTCTGTTACTGTTGCAGAGGAAGAAGATGAGACTACGAAAAGTGCAGAAATCTCTTTTAATGCTATTTTGGGTAATATTTCAGCGGCAACAATGAAACTAAGAGGTTAGGTGCTCAATCGCAATGTGCTGCTCCTTGTTGACAGTGGGTTGACCCACAACTTCATCTCTGACTCATTAGTGCAAGAGTTGAACTTGCCCACTTGTTCTATTCCCACTTTTGGCGTACAGATTGGAGATGGCAGTGTAATTCGAGGAAATTGTGTATGCAAAGAAATGGATGTGAAGCTACCTGGTTTGACCATTAAATAAGATTTTTATCCTTTTTCTCTAGCAAGAACAGATTTAGTGTTGGGAATCAAATGGTTAGCTTCTTTAAATACCATACAAGCCAATTGGAATGACATGTTTTTAATTTTCTGGGTTGATGGCAAACGGTATAAAATTCAAGGAGTACCTCAAGCTTCAAACCAGAAGGCCAGCTTACATTTCATGTTCTCTTCTGAGCTCACATTGGGATCTCCCACTATCAAGTCATTAGATGTGGATGAACTCCTGGTCAAATTTGATGGATTGTTTGCAGAACCAACCTTTCTGCCACCTTTCAGAGATCATTATCATGCCATTCATCTTCTACAGGGGACTCAGCCTCTCAACTTACGCCCTTATCGCTATCCTTACTTCCAAAAGACTGAAATCGAGAAACAGGTGGATGAATTATTACAGAAAGTTTTCATACAGCCAAGTTCGAGCCCTTTTGCCAGTCTAGTTTTACTAGTAAAGAAAAAGGATGACTCCTGGAGGTTTTGTGTGGACTATAGGGCCTTGAACCAGATTACGGTCCCAAATAAATACCCAATTCTCAATATTGATGAGCTTCTAAATGAATTACATGGAGTTACTTATTTTTCCAAGATTAACCTTCGCTCTGGTTATCACCAGATACGGGTCTTGCTAGCGAATATTTATAAAACAGCATTTCGAACTCATAGTGGACACTATGAATTTGTTGTAATGCTGTTCTGACTGACCAATGCACCAACCACTTTTCAAGCAGCCATGAATGATCTTTTTCGTCCTTATGTTCGAAAATTTGTGTTGGTTTTCTTTGATGACATCCTAATTTATAGTCCCACTCTAAACCTACATAAAGATCATCTTCGATTGGTATTTTCTACCTTGCAGCAATAATTGTATTATGCCAACTTCAAGAAGTGTGAATTTAGGCAGACCCGTGTGTCCTTCTTTGGGCATAAGGTTTCAGTACAAGGAGTGGAAACAGATTTTGAAAAGATCAGTACCGTAAGTGAATGGCCAGTACCTACAAATGTCATAGAACTTCGAGGCTTTTTGGGACTCACCAGCTACTACCAAAGGTTTGTCAAGAATTATGGTATTATTGCTCGTCCCCTTACTACATTAACTAAAAGGAATGCTTTTTGCTGGACCCCAGAAGCTAAAAGAGCTTTTGAGAAACTTAAGCTTTATCTTATTACAGCCCCTGTTTTAAAACTTCTTGACTTCACAGCCGAGTTTGTTGTAGAGTGTGATGCTTCAATGGAAGGTATGGGGGCCATCCTCATGCAACATGACCACCCCATCGCTTTTTATAGCAAGGGGTTATCTTTTTCTAATAGATTTCAGTCAGCATATGATTAGGAACTATTAGCTCTAGTGTTGGCACTCCAAAAATGGCATCATTATCTGTTAGGAAGGCATTTTACAGTAAAATCTGACCATAGTAGCTTGAAAAATCTATTACAACAGAGAACTTTAACAAACACTCAACAGTGTCTCATTCTAAAGTTACTTCCATTCGATTTCTCCATTATATAGAAGGCTGGTAAGGAGAATATTGGGGCTGATGCACTATCCAGAAGGCCACAACATGCTGATTTTCTCAATTTGGTGATTCCTATGCCTTTGGATTTCCTTGAATTACAAGAAACTTTGACAACCGACTCTTTTATAGCTCTTATTGTTGCTGCCTTAAAAGAAAATTCCAGTTCTCATCCCGGTTATAGTCTGGTTGAGCAGAAATTGTATTTTAATGGGCGCTTAGTTATTCCCCGGAGCTCATCTCTTCGCTCTAAGCTACTGCAAGAGGCACATGTAACACCTTCGGGTGGTCATGGGGGCTTTTTAAAAACTCTCAAGCATTTAACAGGTACGGTTTATTGGCCTAAAATGAAAAATGATGTAAAAGCTTTAGTTTAACAATGCTTTATTTTCTAGAAGAACAAATATAAAACCCTAACACCAGCTGGTTTGTTGCAACCTTTACCAGTTCCTACACAGATTTGGGAAGATATCTCTCTTGACTTTATTGTTGGAATGCCCAAATCAGGTGGCTATGATACTATTCTAGTGGTAGTTGATAGATTGAGTAAATATTATCATTTCATTCCTCTTGCATACCCCTATACTGCCAAATCTGTGGTTGCTCGTTTTTGTGAGGAGATTGTCCGGTTGCATGGCATGCCTCATTCTGTTCTATCAGATTGAGACCCACTTTTCTTGAGTGCTTTTTGGCAGGAATTATTTAAGCTAAGTCAAACTCGCCTTCGGATGAGTACTGCATACCACCCTCAGACCGATGGCCAGACTGAAGCAGTAAATCGTTGCCTTGAGACATATTTACGGTGCTTTACACATGAGCAACCACGTTCATGGAGTAAGTTCTTAGGTTGGGCTGAATTCTTATTCAATACTGGTTTTCATGTTTCTGCCAATACTACCCCTTTCAAAGTGGTATATGGTAGGGACTTACCTCCACTTCATCCTTTCATTAAGGGTAAAACTCACATTGCTGAGCTTGCTGACCAACTGGAAACTAGAGATCACATGTTACAACTCCTCAGGGATAATTTGCACAAAGCCCAACATAGAATGAAGACTTATGCAGATCATCACTGACGTGAGCTCTCTTTTGAGGTGGGAGATGCAGTTTTCTTGAGGATACAGCCTTTCAGGCAGCGTTCATTGTCCCATAAAAAGTATGACAAGCTCTCGCCTTGTTTCTTTAGACCTTATACTATCATACGTAAAATCAGAGCAGTGGCCTATGAGTTGCAGCTACCATCAACAGCTAAAATTCATCCGGTTTTTCATGTTTCATTACTGCGACCAGCTCACAGAAAGTCCCCTCTTGATCCTCCAGCAGATTTGCCATTGTCCCCTAATCTTGAACTTGTTCTGGAACCTGAGACTGTTATATCTCATTGCTGGAAGGGTTCTCAGTTGGAGCTATTAATCAAATGGGTGTCCAGACCAGAGGAAGAATCGAGTTGGGAAAATTATG